AAAAAAAAAAAAAAAAAAAGAAAGTAGGAAGTAGTTCTCTTTTATTTTTTTATTTTTATCTGTTGATTAGGGCCGGAGGAAAGTATTGTTGGGTTGGTTGCCTACCCACGTTTTCCCTCCCACCCACCCCTTTGCATGCATTTCCGGATTGGTACAGCGCCACGTCAGCAGTGCCACGTCAGACACAGTGCCACATCAGCAGTGCCACATCATCAGTGCCACGTCAGACATAGTGCCACGTCAGACACAGTGCCACGTCAGCATTGCCATGTCAGACACAATGCCACGTCAGCAGTGCCACATCAGCAGTGCCACGTCAGCAGTGCCACGTCAGACACAGTGCCACGTAAGCAGTGCCACGTCAGACAGTGCCACGTCAACAGTGCCACGTCAGCAGTGCCACCTCAACAGTGCCACACCAGACAGTGCCACGTCAACAGTGCCACGTCAGACAGTGCCATGTAAGCAGTGCCACGTCAGCCACAGTGCCACGTCAGCATGACGGGTCCAGCAATGGGCCTGCCAGGCCAACTGGCCAACGAGTCCATCGCCGACTACAAACAGCGTTTCCAGGCTCAGCTCGCTTTCATCGAGGCTGAGGAACAACGCCAGCTGGCAGCCGAGGCTGCCCGCCTACAGGCTGAAGCAGCGGCAACAGCAGAGAAGCTGCGGCTACAGGCCGAAGCAGACGCAGATGCCCAGGCTCGTCGCAAGGAAGCCCAGGATCTGCTGCAGCGACATGAAGCCAACAGCATCGAGAGACTCAAGTTCTGGCACTTTGAACCGAACGGCGACGACGCAACACCGGAAGAGCAGCATAAGGAGTTCCTCTCCAAACTCGTGACACGGTTGTTGTATGCTTGCAACTACCAACGGTCCGAGTTAGAGAGACAGACCCAGGAATTGCAGCAACAATACCAGGATCTGAAGACATAGCACCAGGAGTTGGCGAACCTCCGCCGGATAGTGCAGAGCCACGAGGATGCAACACGGGCACTCAATTCCCGTGTATTGGACCTGGAACAGGCTGTACCAGGACCAGATGTTGGGGCTTCCAGCAGTGCACCCTCTAGCCGCCAACTGGAGGAACGCGTTGACCACGTAGTGGCAATGCTCGGCGACATCAGCGCCTTCGCGGCGCCAACCACCATTAGCAGCCAGCTGGACATGTTGAAGACCGAGGTCCAGCAACTGCAGTCGATGAACTCGGATGGCAATCCAAAGCTGTACAAGATGCCAACTTTCCAACTGGAGAAGTTCGATGACTACACACATCAGGATCCGGTCCTCTGGTGGGAAGCGTTCACGACGCAACTTCGGATTCTGCCTGTCGCCAAGCATGCGTACATCGGCGCCTTGTTTCTTAACTCAAAGGGGGCATGCCAGACCTGGTTGACCCACCTGGCAGCCACCCACGGCGTCGACGTCGCAGATCTCAAAGACAAGATCACATGTGAAGAATTGACACGGCTGTGGAAGAAGCGGTTCATCGTTGACGATGCACCAGCACTCGCCATCAACCATCTCTTCACCATGTCTCATGGCAACACAGCAACACGTGACTGGCTCACGGAATGGCAGAAGATTGCGGCCGTGCCCGATCCGGACTTACCATTCACGCATCTACGCCGTGAGTTCTACAACAGGTCATGCGGTGCACTGAGCCAGACACTTGGTGATCGCGAGCAGTATACCACTTTCGCCGAGATCATTCACAAGGCAAGAGAGATCATCAAGACCAACAGGGCAGCTACACACGATAAGTCAATGTGGCAGCCGACCTATGTGGAGAAGGTAAAGACTGGTCCGCGACCGCAGCACTTCACTGCAGTCCAATCGGACAGTGGAGAAGACCCAGCAGCCACTCCAGCATCACGTGACGGAGATTAGGTGGCTGCTGTCCAGCCGCGAAGCAACAACAAGTACCGGAACAATAGGAAGGCGAAACCAGCATCGCAGGCCGGAAATGGACAGCCAGCACCATGGGTCAAGTTTAGCTTGACCGAGGCGGAGTACAGGTACCGCGGCCGCTACGGCTGCTGCTATTGATGCAACAGCACCAAGCACAAAACCTCCCTTTGCCAGGATTAGGCCAACGAGGACGTGCGACCCCGTCTCAATTCGGGAAACTGAGTTTCGCGGGAGGTGAGGCGACTCCACCTTCCACTCCGCCAGTTTCAGCCGCCTTGATAGCGGCCTCCTGCACATCAGGGGAGGATGCGAATGTCGTAAGTCCTCGGTACACTTACGAGGACTATGTTGTCCACTTGGTTCCACCGCTGGACCAACCGCTCCACGTGCAACAATCAACCGCATGCACGGTTTCATCACCATCGGCAAACGATTCGGCAGCTTCGCCGCCATCTATCACTGGGGATTCCACGTCATGGTCAAGACTTGAAGAGCTCGACCCGTTGACATTCGCGGACTTCCAATGGATGTCCGTTCCCCCGTCCGGTCGCTTGCCGAAACTGCATTGCAACGTGCTCATGGCACAATTGCGGGATTACTTGCACACTGTAGTACCGACTCCGTTGATGGACGTCGGAGTAGAGGTTGTCGACCTTCACGCCTACATTGCGAAAAATGACCGCGAGTTCAAGACGCAATGGTACAACAACATCAACGCACCATTGCTATATGTACGCAATCAGATCGGAGAAGCGACCTACAGCGCTTTGATCGATTGCGGAGCATCTCGCAACGACATCATGGTGCGCGCCGGCCTTGGCCCACGCGTCCGAAGGAAGCCCCAGCCTACGCAAGTCACGTTGGCAGACGGTCACACGCACAAGTCAATCGACCGGTGCATTGATGACGTCCCAGTGTACTTTGCCCCTCACGCAAGTGAGGCGGTGTCCTTTGACATTTTGGACACCAAATTTGACATGATCTTGGGCATGTCATGGCTGCGAAGCGAGGATCATCCGGTGAACTTCTATAACCGCACCATTCACATTCGTGATCGGAATGGAATACTAGTCCCATGACGGTGCCTCTCCCTCATCCTTCCATCAGCTGCCACGTGGTGTCCGCCGCAAGCATGCGAGCATCCATCATCAGAGACGACATCGAGGARATGGGGGTGTGTTTTCTCCACGCCCTCCCGCCCCATGAAGCTTCATCGACGGACTCTTCTTCGGATCCACGCATCATCGAACTTCTCGACACCTACAGTGACGTGTTCGAAGGCCCGCACGGAGTAGTACCGGATCGACCCATCCGCCACGAGATCATCCTCGAGGACGGGGCCGTACCTCCGCGCGGTTGCATCTACCGAATGAGCGAGGAAGAGTTAAGTGTGCTTCGGGCACAACTCGASGAYCTTCTAGAGAAAGGCTGGATTCGGCCTAGCTCATCGCCATACGGTGCTCCTGTTCTCTTCGCCCGGAAGAAGAACAAGGATTTGCGGTTGTGCATYGATTATCGCAAGCTCAACGCGCAGAYGATCAGAAATGTCGGCCCTCTCCCACGCATCGACGATCTTCTCGAGCGACTGGGCGGCGCCAAGTTCTTCTCCAAGCTCGATCTCAAGTCGGGATATCACCAACTCGAGATTTGCAAGGAGGATCGCTACAAGACCGCGTTTAAGATGCGATATGGGCATTTCGAATGGTTGGTCATGCCATTTGGCCTTACGAATGCCCCAACCACTTTCCAAGCGGCTATGACAACGGAGTTCCGACACATGCTGGATCGATACGTACTTATCTACCTCGACGACATCCTGGTGTAGAGCCGGAGTTTGGAGGAGCATGTGGAACACCTGCGCACCGTTTTGGAGCGGCTACGACAAGCCAAGTACAAAGCTAACCGTGACAAGTGCGAATTCGTGCGGCAGGAGCTGGAGTACTTGGGACACTATGTGACGACGCATTCATCCGTCCACTTGCGGACAAGATCGAGGCCCTATGAGTATGGCTGGAGCCCACCAACACCACGGACGTTCGTTCATTCATGGGATTGGCGGGCTACTATCAGCAATTCATCACCGGATACTCACGGATTGCTGCACCTATGACGCGATTACAATCGCCAAAGGTGCCATTCGTATTCGATGACAACGCATGTCGGTCATTCCAAGCACTTAAGACGGCCATGCTCATGGCACCCGTCCTTAGCATCTATGACCCCACCCTGCCGACGAGAGTGACTACGGTCGCTTCCGGCTACAGCATTGGGGCAGTCTTGGAACAACACGACGGCGACGATTGGCACCCTGTGGAGTATTTCAGCCACAAAGTGCCTCCCATCAACTCGCTTGATGATGCAAGGAAGAAGGAGCTGCTCGCATTCGTCATGACTCTCAAGCGATGGCGGTACTTCCTCCTTGGGCGTCGTAGGTTCACATGGGTTACGGACAACAATCCATTGACCTACTACAAGACGCAGGATACGATGAGCAGCACGATCGGACGATGGATGTACTTCATTGACCAGTTTGACTTCACACCAAAACATCTTCCCGGCCTCTCAAATCGCACAGCAGATGCACTCTCGCGAAGACCTGATCTTTGCGCTATCACACATCATGCCTTCGCATTCGACGAGGAGCTTCAGTGACACTTCATCCGGGCAACTTCATCCGGGCATATGAGTCTGATCCGGACTTTGCCACGCTATATGCACAACTATCTTCGGATCACCCGCCGACCAGCCACTATCGCATTGTCGACGGGTACTTGCTCCTCCACTCGAGAGCCAAGGACTTATTGTGTGTCCCACGAGACTGTCGTCTTCGGACTCGCCTTCTCGGGGAGTACCATGACTCGTGACTCGCCGGCCATTTCGGAGTCAACCGCACCATTGCACGGCTTCGACAACGATTCCGATGGCCTGACCTCATTACCGATGTCACTCGGTATTGTGACTCTTGCGAAGTTTGCCGACGCAGCAAACCCCGCAACCGCAATCCCTATGGCGAGTTACGCCCGATGCCCATCCCACGGGAACCCGGTCTCTCTATTGCCATGGACGTCACCATTCCGTTCCCTCGCGACCGGCTTGGGCACGACGACATCCTCACGGTTGTGGACCGATTGAGTAAGTATGCGCGTTTTCTTCCTTGCAAGTACTACTCCGCGGCTCCCGAGCTGGAACGCCTCCTGCACACTAGTTGGATTTGTGGCCACGGTGTACCAGCAAGCATAGTCAGCGACCGCGACACTCGCTTCATGTCGGCATTTTGGACTGCTCTCATGCAGGAGTCCGGCACGAAGATGAAACCAAGTTCGGCTCGGCATCCACAGACGGACGGGCAAACGGAGCGGGCACATCAAACCGCTCAAATGATGCTTCGTACGCTCATCCGTCCGGATCAGATACATTGGGTTGACCGCCTCCCCGACATCGAGTTCGCCTACAACACTTCGGTGCATCCGGCGATCGGCGTGAATCCATTCGAGTTACACCACGGTGGACGGAAAGGCTGTATCTTCGCCGACCTTCTCCTCCCTCGACCAGCCGGCATTGACGCCGCTTGCTTCTCGCTTCCATCCAGAAGTACAGGGAATTGCTGACTCAAGCCCGCGCGAACATGCAAAAGGCTCAAGTCCTCATGCAACAACAAGCCAACAGGCGTCGCGTGCCATGTCCCATCCGCGCCGGTGATCTGGTTTGGGTCTTCGCGGAAGAGTTTGCACTCGAACTGAACGCTTCACGCAAACTGCTTCCCAAGTGGTTTGGACCATGGTCTGTGGCATCAGCCATGGGCGATGAGCCCGATGGCCCTTCATTTGTGATCAACATTCCCAAGCATCTGACGGTCCATCCAGTCTTTCACTCCTCGAAGCTGGCAACATACACGCCAGCTAAGAGCGACAACTTTCCGGGCCGACGATTGCAGGACCCTCCATCTATGGATGGTCATCAGGAGGCTGATCGCGTCATCTCGGATCGCAAGTACGGCAGCAAGCCGCGACTGTACAAAGTCACATTCAGAGCATGCGATGCCGACAATACTCGGTGGATTTCAGGAGCAGATTTGAAAGCATCCGCACCGCTGATCTACGCTCACTACGAGCGACAACGGTTAGCTAAGGGACCTCCACGACCTGCCCCTCCCACCCGGACTGTGGTCCCTCCCTCAGACAGACAGCTTTGCCCTCGCAGGGAAGCTCGGTCTTTCAAGGACGGGGGGTGTGGCATACTGTGTAGCCACACGGGCCCTGAAGGGCCCGTTGTCGGAAGATGATGTGGCGCAGCAGCGGAAATTGACTCGCCGCGGTGAACTCCCACGCTGCGTCAAAATTGCGTCCGCAGTCATGGTCAAACTGGACCCTTGCTCTTCGTTTAGACTTCCCCTGGGCCGAAACCGAGGGAAAGACGACGCGACAGTACGGTCCCCTGGAGACCTGATCTTCCTCGTTGGACTGGACCGACGCGACCTCAATGGGCCAATTAGTGGAGTCCGGTCCAAACGGCACTTGAAATGGACCAAGGGTTAGCGAGATATTCAAGTTTGACCGGTTGGGACCGGACGGACACGACCGCATAACCCGGCCAGGAAAGTAACAACCCTAAGTAGCCATATAGATGAACAGCCAGGCCCGAATAATTAAAATAGGGTCATGTGCTATTTTTAGCACGGGATTGACTGTTCATTTCCCACGCTATTTTTAGCGTGGGACTGACTGTTCATCTACCGGGAACTGGGCCTACGCCAGTCCCATTTTAAAAATAACACAGCCCCACGCTATTTTTAGCGTGGGACTGGCTGTTCATCTACCGGGGACAGTGCCTGCGCCAGTTCCGTTCTAAAAATAGGACTGACTGTTCATATCCCGAGGTCGGGACTGCTGCTATTTTTAGCACAGGCTTGGTCTAGAGTTTGACCACAGCCCTGACCATGGGACTGCAACACTCAGCCACGATCCCTTGGCCTCTCCATTATAAAAGAGAGGCCACGTCACCCAACGGGACAGATCAGCATGCGTGGCACACGTGGCACGAATCAGACTGTGAGAGAACCCTCACTTGCGGGAGCGCTGCAGCTTTGGCGGAACGGCAAGGAGCGAAAGACACGAGCCAAAGAGCAGCGACGTGCCAGCAGGAGCATGAGGGGAGCGCAGAGCAGGAGGCAAGAGGGTCGAGCAGGAGGCAAGCAAAGGAAGGGGTAAGGAAAGGGAGGGACAAGATTGACCCCTCGGTTTCCCTTTCGCACCCCTTTTCTTCTCCCATTTTTTTTTCTCTCTCTCCTCGTCTTCCCTCCCCCTCTTCTTTCCAACCGCCTTCATGCGTTGTGTGCATGTTGTATCTGATCTGCGCGAACCATGATGGAGCTCTGCATTAGTTGATTGGTCATGAATTTTGTGCTCACACTCTGTATCTGAGGGCCGAGACTAAACTGTGTGTCTCCACACACCATGCGTGTGAGTCATAATCGAACAGTGTGCCTGTGCACACCGTGCCTGAGGACAATTTTTATTTGACCGTGTGTACGCAAAACAAGTCGATTTTGAGAATGCCTGCGCAGTCACACTGAGAAACAAGTCGATTTTGAGACTGCCTGCGCAGTCACACTAAGAACCAAGTCGATTTTGAGACTGTCTGCGCAGTCACATTGGGAACCAAGTCGATTTTGAGACTGTCTGCGCAGTCACACTGGAACCAAGTCGATTTTGAGACTGTCTGCAAAGTCACACTGGAACCAAGTCGATTTCGAGACTGCCTGCGCAGTCACACTGGAACCAAGTCGATTTTGAGACTATCTGCGCAGTCAAACCAAACATTTGATAGTGCGGTCACACTGCGCACCACTCTTGAAAGCTACATCTGAGTCTTTTCGTTGTTTGCAACTGTGCACCAGTGCGCACCACTCTTGAAAGCCATATTTGAGTCTTTTCGTTGTTTGCAACTGTGCGCCAGTCCGCACCACTCTTGAAAGCCATATCTGAGTCTTTTTGCTGTTTGCAACTGTGCGCCAGTGCGCACCACACTTGAGGGTCATGTCTAAGTCTTTTCGCTGTTTGCGACTGTGCGCCAGTGTGCACCACTCTTGAAAGCCATATCCAAGTCTTTTCGCTGTTTGCGACTGTGCGTCAGTGCGCACC